GTATTGCCGATCTGCAACTTGGGAATAGCTCATTTGTTACACAAGGTAAGAGCTTGGATGCGTGGAACACCGGATAGGTACGTATTGCCGATCTGCAACTTGGGAATAGCTCATTTGTTACACAAGGTAAGAGCTTGGATGCGTGGAACACCGGATACGTACGTAAGTGCAAAGGAACCTCAATAACATACGAAGGACCATCCACATCTCCAATCACATCTACAACTTGCCAAGGCCCTCTGTAGGCGGGTAGGAGCTCTTGAGAAATGTTCTCTTCAGGAGCGAACTCCTTAGACTATACCCAAACTAAGTCTCCTACAACAAATTGAGATGGTCGTCTGTGCTTATTCACTTGTTCAATCATCTGATGCTGTGCTTTGAGTATGTTTTCCTTTGCTTTCTCAATGTCTTTCTGATACTGAATTGCAAATTCACTAGTTCCTAAAGGAAGCTTATGTACTTGATCCGGGTTTAGTCGATCAATGGGTCTGCGTGGACGCCATCCCAGATGTAACTCCATAGGAGTCTTACATGTAGATAGATGTACAGAGTTATTGTAGGCACTAGCAACTTTAGGCAGATGTTCATCCCAGTCAATCTGATCAGGACGAATGTACATACGCAAAGTCTGTTGTAGTATCTTGTTCATCTGCTCAGTCTGGCCATTAGTCTCAGGATGTTTGCCTGATGACATAGTCAACTTAGAGCCATATACATTCATTAGTTGCTGTCATTGTTCACTTGTGAACCTGGTATCTCTGTCACTTACAATAGTCAAGGGATGTCCAAAATCTTTTACCCAATGGTTAAAGAACTCCCGAATTACCAACTCAGTCTTCGCTTCCGAAGGCAAAGCAACAAAAACAGCATACTTAGTAAATCTATCCACTATGACCATTACTTGCGTTTTCCCATTTCTACTTTTTACCTTAGTATCCATGAAATCTATAGACACAGAGTCTTCAGGGCCTGTAGGGATAGGCAAGGGCTTAAGTAACCCAAGGGGAGATTGCGTGGTGCTTTTGTTTCTTTGGCACACTTGACAACCTTGCACATATGCGATACAATCTGCTTTCATTCGAGGACAGGTGTAGGAACGCAACAAAGTCCCATAGGTCTTCTTCCACCCAAAATGACCTTTGGTATCATGGCATTCCCCTAAAATCAAACTCTTAATCTCTTCATTATTCGGTATGCAAAGCCTATCATTCACATCAGTCCTTTCAAATAATAGACCCTAAGTAACCTTGTGATCAGGGAACTCTGCTGGTACTTCTTGTACTCGTTTAATCATGGTTCCATGGACAGGATCAGAGGGATACGCATTCCTAATCTTTTCTTGCAGATCAGCACCAACATCTAGATATGTTACAATGGCACAAAAAAAATCAGATCTACGACTTAATGCATCAGCAACAACATTATATTTACCCTTTACTGGCTTTAGCTCAAAGTCAAACATATCAATCTCCGCAGCCCACCTTGTTAACTTAGGTGTCATTCGAGCCTGCGTTTTGAGCCAGCGAAGTGTCTCATGGTCAGAGTATACTTTAAAATGCCTTCCTAGAAGATAGTGTCGCCAATGATTGAGAGCCTCACGAAGAGCATACAACTCCCTTTCATGCGTCGAGGCGGCCACTTTTTCATTAGGCAATCGGCAAGACATAAACTCCACAGGTCTGTATCCATGTCCATCATCTTATTGGAGTACAGCACCTATGCCATATTGACTAGCGTCGGTTGTGACCACAAAAGGTAAGGAAGGGTCCGCCACTTTCAGAACCGGATAGTTGCTCAAACACTTTTTCAGACGCTTAAATGACATGTTGCAGTCTGGATCCCACTTCCAAATCACTTCTTTCTTAAGCAACCTGCGAAGGGGATCAGCTATGATCGTAAATTGTCTCACGAACTTTCGATAATAGTTGGCTAACCCAAGGAACGACCGCAACTCAGTCAGGGTGCGGGGGTTCGGCCAATCTCTGATTGCTGCTATTTTAGCATCTTCCGGTTTGACCCCATCTCCATCAATTACATGTCCCAAATATAGAACCTGACGCTTAGCCCATTCACACTTCTTTGGGTTTAGCTTGAGTTTTGCTTCTGGCAATTTATTTAGCACAAGTCGAAGGTGCTCAACATGTTCCTTTTCATCTTTGCTAAAAATCAAAATATCATCTAGATAAATAACAACAAACTTGTCAAGTCATTCACGAAATAGTTCGTTCATTGTTCTTTGGAAAGTGGCAGGGACATTCGTTAGACCAAAGGGCAAAACGACGAACTCATAATGCCCATACCTTATTCTGAAGGCAGTCTTATGTTGGTCTTCCGGCTCAACCTCAATCTGATGGTAACCGGATTTCAAATCAATCTTTGAAAATATTTTACAACCTTGCACGCGATCCAGCAAATCATCTATTCGCGGTAATGGTTCAACATTCTTTATTGTTATATCATTTAATCTCCTATAGTCTATACACATGCGAACGTCGCCATGCTTCTTAGGTACAAAGAGCACAAGCGCTCCATAGGGCAAAAAACTAGGTCTTATCCATCCATTTTTCAGCAACTCATCGAGTTGGGTTCGCAATTCCTCCAATTCCTTGGGCGACATACGATAGATAGGCCTCTTCGGAGGTACACTCCCTGGAAGAATATCAATGCGGTGCTTGATAGGTCTTTCTACCACACCACTTGGGGCCTTAGCCACATCTGCGAACTCTTTCAGTATTCTCTCAATTTCTTGAGACCTGACTTCTTCCTTACCTTCCCCTTCCTTTATTGGGCGCACATAGGCAACAAAGACTTGGTCATACAAGTTATGTTTCCTTACATGGCGAGCAAACGCTGGGGCACTCATGCAAAAGTGAGCGAGGATGCTTTCTTTTCCAGACTCGTGATACAGCCGAATTTTTTTTTTACCTCCTTGCGGACTTGGGAGCCAACATTCATGCTCTCTCAACTTCAGATCCGCATTTGCAGCCTCAACCCAATCCATTCCTAACAACACATCAAAGGGCAAGTTATCCTCCACCAAGAAGGTCAGAGAGTGGAGAACACGTTCCACCTTCCCCTCCGCCTCTAGCCGAAAGTATACTTGAACCCCCTCAACGTATCGATCCATAACAACTTCAGTATTATTAGCTAATTTACTTACAATGGGCTCATTCAGATTCTTAACCTTAAGCCCAAGATGCAGTTTCTACAAACCTTTCTTGCTAATATAACTGCGTGTAGATCCGTTGTCTATCAAACCTCCTACTCTTATGCTATTTATTTCAAGATTTGCAATTATCAACTGTCCTTTTTTTTTTCGCATTTCAGTCCAGGCTTGGCGACGAGCGGCSAACTCATCACCCACGCCAGCGAGGGATCCATCTAGAGAGATGCATGCGTTTGCCACCTCTGGACAGTGCACTAGATGGGGACTTTCTTCCTCTTCAGTTTCTGCCATTGGGGCCTTCGAATGGGAGGATTCTGATTTTTCAACATCCGAAGCCCCGGTAGAGGCAACTGGCACCTCTACTGGTTGTTCCCTTTTGCCCCCCTATAGTCAGGGCAATAGGGGACAATGTGGTCGGGGTCCCCACACTTGAGACATTGGTATGCTTTCTTTCTTTCTTGCCATACTTTTTCTGTTATTCATAGTTCCTTCCAAGGCTCTCCCTCGGGTAGGCCTGGATGTGGTGGGTATGGTTTGTCCCACTTGTTATACCAAGTGCCCCTTCCTCTACCCCAGGTGGAGTAAGAACCACGGCCACCTTGTGAGGGACCATTTCCCCTTCCTCCCACGTAGTGGCTTCCTTCACCACCACCCCTCTGGGTGTCGAATCCTTGTCCACCACGGCCGCGACCTCTTCCTCGCCACGCCCTCTTCCTTGACGCCCTCCCCCGCGGGCTACAACGACCGCGTAACTCCCCTCCTCAGCTACCGGTCCGCTGGGCTCATCAAGACCATAATCTACTTGGTCCCAGGAGATGGTCTCGACGCCTCCTTCCTCAAAGGTTAGAAGGAGGCTATCTTTCCCAGGTATAGATCCTGAGATAGTGCGGTTTTGCCATTTCTTCCCCGCTTGCAGATCCTTCCAATAATGGCAATAGTTCGTTTTCGCGAGGAAGCCGGCATGATCTATTGCGATCTTGTCGAACTTCTCATACGTCATTCCTTCTTCTTTGATGCGGGGATAGAGTTGTGTTCTCAAGGGATCTTGTAGTGCTCTTGCAAAGCTATTCAAAATTTGAGTAGGTGTAAGTCCATGGCCGAGGCATTGCAACAACTCATCCATAGTTGCCTTCAGGGCAGATGTGCTTTTCCATTTCCTATCAGGGAGATTAAGGATCAGCATCTCTGTGCGACGTCCTAGGTTCTTATCTTCGAATCTTTCCCGGATTGCCTTAAGGAAATCTTCGATTCGAGTTTGTTGTGAAAACTCCACCATTGAACTGCATCCCACCTCTTTTTGTAGCGAGATGGCGAAGCTCATGGCGTCGCCTCCCATGCATGAACTTGCCATTAACACCCTGTCCCAGTATGGGATTCGTTGCCCGTATACATATGTTTTTATTGCTGCTGCCCAATGCAAAACACTCTCTTCTTTCTTCCCATTATAGGTCCACGGCAGTTTACGTTTAATCTTACTAACCTGCCCAACTTCCTGTGGAAGTTTTCCCTTCGGATCCCTTTTCCCCTTCTTGTCATCATCGCCATCATCATCACCATCTCCTCCTCCGCTTCCAGCTCCCTTTACAATCTTTTCTATAACTTCGGGAGTGAAAGTCTTGGTGACATGTTCGTCCAAGGCCTTGATGTATGTCTACACATGCTGGTCAACATCCTTGGCTGACTTTTCTAGGAAGTTCTTCCAAACAGATTCGAATTCAACTCGATGTGTCTCTACCCTGTGTAAGGTCTGACGCATTAAGGCCATGTCCTGCCTTGTGTTGAGGACCGCCTCTCTGAGGAGAGCAAGTTGTTCTTCTGTTGCAGAGGCTTTGTCCTTTTGAGCTTCTAAAGCCTTCTGCAGTTTTTCCCCTTCTGCCTGCAGCCTCTTTTTTTCTTCCACTTCTTGTCTTCTGGCTGCTAACAATTTATTATTCAACTCCGCCCTCTTTTCCTCCAGCATTAGATTTCGCTCGACTGTGTCGGTTACAGTAGCCAACTTTGCGACGAACATATCCCGTTCTTCTTCAGACTCCCTTAATGGTTCGCTGGAGTAGTAATACTGACCAGCCCAGTCCAACGGTTCAACGGGAAGCCGGCTGACTGTACTACTTTCAGGTATATCAAGATGACGATGTCTTTGCAAGGTCTCTCCTTCATCCTGTTCTTCTTCTTCTTCTTCTTCTTCTTCTTCTTCTTCTTTTTCTTCTGCTCGTATACTCTTCAACTCTTCTTCTAACTCCTTGTCCATCTTTTCTTTCATCTTTCTCTTTGCTTCTTCTTCTTTTTGTTTCTTTTTAGCTTCTTTCTCCTTCTTTTTCTCTGCCAGCCTGCGGTCAATCTCCGCCTGTTCCGCAGGCGTGGGCCCAGGCTTTACTGTTCCCGATCGCATTAACATGCGGGACGTACACACGCATCCGAACCCCAATGGAAACATGAACCTGAACAGTGGGTCCAATAGGACAGAAAGGGCCAACAGGCTCTGGATGGGATAGTCGTCCATGGTGAGGATCGGCACAGGGGGTCCTCCGCCGGCTCACCACAACACTATCCCTCCCCAAACTTGCTTGTCTACACAGTCTTAATGAGTGGCGAATGGAGTACTATACTTCGTTTTTTTTTGTTGACGGTAGAAGGTGCTGCGCACAATGAAGTACTCTATCAAATTGAAATCAATGCTTGTTCTTTGTAGATATGTGTATATACCTCTTTTTTTTTTTATATAATGTCTGGCTTCCTGGATCAGACTCTCTGCAATGCGTTTCTGGTATCTTGCTGTACCTCCCCCTTGATCCTTTGTTTGTCTACTAACTTGTTGGCTGTTTGGATGCAGGCTTGGAGTACAGCGCAGAAGTGTCAGACGCAGATGGCTCACTCAGTCAACCAGGTAGTAATATTTTGCTCGGTTCTTTCTTTCGGGTTTAACTGGCCCTGTAGATGTTCATCATCACACATGCGTTGCCTGACATTTGCGATCTGACGTGGCATATGGCCACTACCCACATCGATTCTCAGTCCCTGATGGCGATACACAGCCTGCCTATCGAGAGGGGTAGGAAAGCACTCTACTCCTACTCACAGAACACTGACCACCTAATCTAGTGTGACCAGGCCCTGACACATTGCATTTGGACCATCCAGACTTTGACAACTCAGACTCTGACACACTAAGATGATCCAGATCCAGTTCTGACTTCCAGTCCAGCAGCAGTCACCTTCAGAGGGGAAGAGAGAGAAGGTAGGGGACACACACATGCATGCAGGTTAAGGGAAGGAGGTGCTTCTTTCTTCTTGAAGATACCGCCGATGATGCTCCACGACGCTCCAGGTAAGTACCTTTGCCCCTTCTTCTTCAGCCTGCTTCCCCTACTAACGCAATACTTCTTCTCTTCCCTCCTTCCTCCACTAATCCTCCATCACCACTTCTCGCCGGCCTTGATTCTGCCAGCGCTATGAGTGCAACGAGCTTCAGCCTCCGATACCAAATTTTGCATGGGTCCTGGGGACCATCTCACGCAAGAGTGTACATGTCATGCATCATACTCGTACACAATGATCAAAAGACTCACACATTGGACAAAGGTAGATGAGAAGAGAACCGAGTTACACAGCTTATATTATCAAAAATATGTTTACAAAGAGTTTCATAATTCCCTGAGTCCAGTACTCRTCAGMGCAATRCAAATCCCTCATCAATTCATCACCGCGACTTCAACTCATCARCGCCACTTCTGCAGTTCATACCCAACTCAGGTAAGKATCCTTCATAGCCGAACCTTGATTGAACACTCTCTGTCTCAGTCCCTTACTCCTACGATGCATACACAMTCTTCTCYCATAAGGATCTACTCTGAATGCTACTCATAGCTATCTACTACTAACCCTCTAAGTCTATACTAACTTGCTGGGCARCTATGGCTGCATCTCTCYCAGYGCACAGTCTTCTTCCTTCTCTYAGCGCATCTTCATCCTCCAGYGCTGCTCCTACTGACTGGCGCACAAGTGCTTCGRCACTTCCACGCGCAGAAWGYCAGTGGAKATCTGGCGTGCAATGAGGCTGGCTGCTTSCTTTATARTGCTGGCCTCTACRCGCTGGGTCTGCATTGGCTGCTYCAGGCCTTCCTTTGTCCCAGACCCTGCATTGCATGTGTCCCAGTACTTGTCSCAATGAAGTTMACTGCTGCTGAGGCCTCTMGGCCTAGATTTGGACTTGGATATCTGGATCTGGACTGTCCCCTAGACTTAGACCAGAACTGGGACTCTGCTTATTGTCTTACTTCCGAACAGGCACAACTTTGGGCGAAGAGACACACTTACTGCCTGAACAGACACTCATACTGTGTGAATAGACACNACTCTGCTTATTGTCTTACTTCCGAACAGGCACAACTTTGGGCGAAGAGACACACTTACTGCCTGAACAGACACTCATACTGTGTGAATAGACACCTTCTTTTGCATGAACAGACACAGTGACTGCACGTACAGACACACCCTTATCTGAACAGACATCACACATACATCACTTGGCGAACAGGTATGTCTTTCAGCAATAACCTTTGGCACTAACTTTTGGCACTAACTTTTGGCTTAGATTTAGATGTGTCCTTTGATACAGAACTCGCCCGTTGGTCTTCTTTCTCGTGTCCTGGGTCCTGGCGAGATACCTCTTCACGCTGCTTTACTTTTATGAGGCCTGTATCGGGTATCGGGTAAAGGCCCTTTTAGGAGAGAAGAAGATGGTGGACTGAGAAGAGGAAGAAGGAGAACTCTCTCTCTCTCTCTCACTGTTATGAACCAGATACTAACCTGTGATGTTGGCGCTGTGCTGCAGGTACCTCGAAGACGAAGCTGGAGCAACGGCGCTGCAGGTAGGTACCTCTGGCCTCCGCCCAAGCTCTCTCTCTCTCTCTAGTACTACCTAGCTATGGCGCCCAGCGCTGGAGACTACAGCCACCTACTGGGCCCAGCGCTGAAGACTACAAGCTAACGCTACTACTACTACACTGCAGCGGTCCCTCCAGAGTGCTGCTCCCGAATCCTGAAGACTACAACTGCCGACTGCCCACCTGGGAAGTGCCTGGGAAGTCCTATGTACTACCTCGGCCTGCCTCCTGACTACTGGACGGCGAGTCAGGCCGAGGAGGCAGCTCTTGCCAATGCCGAAGTGTGTCAGGGGCTGGCGTGCAGCAGCCTGCTGAGGCTGGCGTGGGAAACAGACTAATAATAGTCTGTTCCCGAAACCCTGGTTCGGTGCCTGAGTTTCAGGGCCGGT